TTCTACGAAAATCATAGTCATAGAATCAAGATGTTTTAAATCGCGATAATAATGATTATTATGAATTATCGTTGTCATTGTTATCAGTGATAACGCCATTAATTTCTCTAATTTATACTCTGAATAATAAATTTAATTATATTGTTCCTATACATTTAAATAATCTTAGTGTACAAATGGAAACCAGGTGACTGTCGATTATTACTTAACGAAGTCAATTGTCGTTAATTATTTCATGACTTTCATACTTTTTCTTGTCTTATTAATTGTTAATTCATTTTTTGTATTGGTTGTTTGAATCTTCTCATTTATGTTTGGGACTGTAACTGATCAGTCACTTATTAGCATATGTACATCCTATGCAGATTGTCTCGATATTGCCTCAAGTCAAAAACAGTATAAGTAGATATGGATAGTGGCTAGCAGTGGAATCCATCTCTGCTTATAAGTTTTGTGACTTAAGACATTATAGAAGCAGTTGTTCATTGGCAAGGGAAACATAATCATAAACGTTTAGGGGAATACTTTCATATGCTAATAATAGCTTTTATGTCCTAACATATAGACACATACTCACTCAGTTAGTTACTAATTTTATGTTTAAAATGAATTTCTGAATTAATCTCATGAGAACATTTTCAATGACAGTTTGGAACATCATAAAAATCACCAATATTTTTCTTTAATAATATAGTTCTATATTAACAGGTATCCAAGTCTTTTTCATATGTTCAAATTTTAATCAATACCAAGCTCACCACACAAATCTATTTCTCAAGTTCATAAATACTCTGTATTAAATACCTGTGAAATAACATTGAAGGTTTCAAGTGTAGATTCCATGTTTCGTTTTATATAGAATTCTCCAATGCAAAAGTATAACCACCCGTAACGAAATAGTTAAACATATTTAAGTGATCTTACTTCTCGAAGGACTTGTAAGCTAAATAAAAAACTGGTTCAAAACAATTTTCAGGAGGACGATGATACTTAACGCTAAATTCGGTCATTTCAACTGACTGATAGACAAATTTATAGCGTTGTGACAAATAGTGAGCAGTAATCTCCTAGATGTAAAAACAACTGACTGACTTACAAAACTCACCCCGATTGTTTACATATACGATGAACATCAAAGTTTAAGAGAATAATTACAAAAGCAAGTGTTTTGAATCCCTCCGAATATTTGAGGTCAGAAAACGCAGTCAGTCAGTTAATTAATCACAATCAAGGTAGAGTCCGACACAAATAAATCTTAACCCAAACTCCCATACTTCATTTGCACTACAAGATGAAATAATTCTGTAACACTGGTATTAAGAAGGATAGGACATTAGCAACATGGTTCAAGAATAAGGTATGAAAAGGTATTTTTGAGGAATAGCGAAACTTTGAGGCAGGTGAAGTAGATCTGTACAACTGAGAATAATTCTGATCGATGCCATATAAAGTCCCGAACCACTGATCGCCGTTAACAGGCGGATCACAAAATGGTTATTTGTTAACTTAAATATTCAGTATACCAGTTGAAAAACAAGATTTTCTTAATACTGTTATACAGATTTATTCTAATTCTGTTTGGTTATATGTTTAGAACACCTACATTGACCTTCTGAAAAGATATTTACTCGGATTTTATTGACTTTTTGTAAACTGTATGGTTTAGATGGTTTCGGTTTGCAGCTATCACTCTGCAGATATTCATTTATTTTCATCGAAAAGTTTTTTAAGTAAAATAACACAACTCTTTTTAGGAACTGATCTTCAAAATTAAATCGGTCTAATCATGTTGCAGTACACCAACGGCGTAATTCTTTTAAGTGAAAATAATGACATTGCAATTAAACTACTGAATATATATTAAACTACATTACAAAAGTATTTTGAAGACGTTTATTAAAGACTGATCTTCATCAGTCCCTGATTTTAGAAACTGGTCTATCTTTCATTCAATTGGTTTCAACACCTCAAATGTATTAATATCCGTCAATACCCCAGAATATACAGTGTTTACATAAAGTTTTTTCACACTTCATCTATACTACAGGATAGGCTACTAAAAATGAGACAAAAACTAAATGTAAACAAAAAGCTACGAACCTCTTACACAAGGTAAATATCAAATAAATATCACACATCATGACCTATTATTTTTATGGACAACATCTAATTCAGAAATAGTTATAATTATCTTCCAAAACAGTCAAAGCTCAATGTGATTTTAAGGAAATCAAAAGTTCAAGTAACACTTCACATCTTTCAACTTTTATCTCAATCAATGAAATTTAAATATATGTATGTCAGACAAATATTAAAAGATACAGCTTCCTGATTTCTCGCTTGAAAATTATACTTCCCCCTAATAGTGTAGATGATCATGGATAAACGCTGGCTAACTGGAGAGAAACACGTGCTCTTACAGCAAATACATTTCAAGATCTTTATGAGTAATTTGGAAAAGAACCCAACGAATTTTTGGTTTTATGGTTTATTAATATTGAAGTCTAACAAAACTATCGAACACATGGTAGTAAACCATAAAAGAGATACTAAGGCTATAGTTTAACCTCGTAACTTAGAGAACAGAGTATGGAATACTTATTTCAAATTTATTTTCCTTAACTTAAGCATCCTCAAGAAGTATAATTATTCTTCGTTTTTGTGTATTTAATTAATTCTCCTCAGTTAAAACTGGAAAGAAGTCTTTTTACGTTAACATAAAGGATGACGATATTTTCATACTTTAAAATCCTTCCTTTCACTTGACTATGTGGTACAAAGCTTCACAAATGAAATTATACAGAGGCTTTGTTTAAGTTCAGCTTTTATTTTGATTAATTGAATAATATCACATGAAAAACTGTACACCATTAATTTGAATATCATGACGACTCAAGTAATTTTTCTCTTGTCAACATTGTTTGCTAATCGATATTACAACAAGCACTACACAGAAAACAAACAGAATGAATTGTTTTGATTATCATCCATTACTTAATTACATTACAGATTAATCAGAATATAGAAGTATGACAGTGAAAACTATGTATACAGTTTTGAATAGAATATTATAGAAAATAAAATCCTGTTAAAACATTGAATAGTCGACTCAAATGTAGGTTATATATATATATATATGTCAACTGTTTGAAATGGTTTCCTTAAATGATTGTATGGAATAAATGTAAACTTGTTACATTTTTTATGAATATACAAATAATCATTAGAATATTAAAGATTCCCATTGTGAAAATTAGAACAACACATATAAGCGAACAATTGTTTTCAATTAGATCGTCATCAGGCTTTACTCTAATATACATGGATATTTATACGAAAATTTTAAACCAATCAAGGCAATATGAGTCAATAATCACAATGAAATAGAATAAGTCACTACACATAAAATAGGTAAAAGTACAAGTTGATAGTACGAAGACAGGTGAACGGATAGTAGTAAGAATAATAAACTATAATAACAAAACTCTTATCAATAGTTAATCGTTGGAAATAGAAGGTCAAACAAACATGGGTAAATAGACTAGGAATAGTAATCACAAAACCTTAAAAATCATTACGTAATAAGATGTGTGTAAATAATTAGATAGTGAAGAATACAAAGAGGCGGATAATGACAAACAAATAATGGATGTGGAAATAAGGTTAACAATAACACAAATAGAATAAAATAAATAATGATAATAATAAAATTTAAAATAAAAAAAAAAAAATTGTTAGTTAAGTTATAACTGGCCATGGAAGGGATAAGGGAGTCACGTATTTCTTCTGTACACATAGATTGGGGTTATATGTACGAATTCCAATGGCTTCAGCTATATATAGGAGACGGGAACGGACTCCGTCGGGAAATGATGGAGGTATACGATAGATAACTCGAAATGATTTCGATTTCTCTACTGTATGACCGCTATCAATAAGATGTGCTAGTATAGAACTCCGAATAGTTTTTCTCTGACCCTTTATGTACCAAGTTGGTAAATGTTCACTCATTCGTTGGTTAAGTTGCCTGGTAGTACGCCCTATATAGCTATCTCCACAGGAGCAGCTGAATTTGTAAATGCACATGGAAGAGGCCAACTCAGGTAACTTATCCTTCGTTTGAGTAGACATCGCTGGACGACAAGAGAAGGTCAACGCAAGATTGGCTGCGTAGAATGTCTTGGTGATTACTTTGGTTAACCTATATTTCAGAGTGTCACTAGCCACATCCCCGTTGAATTGCACTTTCATGTATAAAGGTTTCTTACGAACAGTCGAAATCTCCGACTTCTTTATTATATCCTGCATGTATTTCTTGATGAACGCGCTGGGGTAGCCGATCTCGGTCAGTGAGTTGTTGAGAAATTCAAGCTCCTGACTTAAAGTGTCTACTGTACAGATCTTTTTTGCTCTGCTCGTGAGACATCTGACCAAATTTCTCTTGTACCGGATGGGTGTGAAACTGCAGAAGTGAGTATATTGGCATGAAGAGGGGTTTCTTCTATACACGCTTCTACTTAATGTGCCGTCACTTCGTCTGCTTAGCGTGACGTCAAGGAAGCTCAGCTTCTTATCATGCTCGCTTTCACCAGTGAAGGTGATCGCTGGGTGAACACTGTTGAATTGGTCTAGGAGTTCCTCTTTACTAGTGTTTTGGTCTACGATAATGAATGTGTCGTCAATGTATCGACAATATAAATCCAGTTTCTTAATAGTCTCATTGAGAGGTCCGTTTTCTAGCTTTGCTAGGAAGAGGTCAGCTAAAATCGGGCCCAGAGGCGAGCCCATGGCTATCCCGTCTATTTGTCTATAGTAAGTATTGTTGAAGACAAAATGTACATTCAGAGTGCATCTTAGGAGCAGTTCCCTTAGGCTATTTTAAATTTTATTATTATCATTATTTATTTTATTCTATTTGTGTTATTGTTAACCTTATTTCCACATCCATTATTTGTTTGTCATTATCCGCCTCTTTGTATTCTTCACTATCTAAATAATCATTAATTACTCCATTTTTTTCTGTCTGCACGATGAATTTTTGCCAGAATCTTTTTCCACTGTATTGGTAATTTATCATAACAATCTTTACATACTGGTTTCAAATCGATTTCATAAAGTTTGGATCTACATAAATATGAAATTAAATATTCATATTGAGTAAATTTGTGGACGACTAAATTAGGTATAAGATATCAGGTCTCGGGTTTTGTCACAAAGTTCAATCATTCATTTAGCTAAATAGAGTTTTGGCATAATAGCTGATGTCAGTTAGTGATGAAAACCTTGAATCTAATTCTTAACCTTAATCATCAACTGTAAATCATAACTTTAATTCCTCATACAGGTTTATAACTCTCGTTTGGTCCTGGTTATTAGATGGACACTCTCAAGGTCCCTTTAGCATCGCCTAAAGATAGTTCATAAACTGTAGTCTCGCCTAATCTTTTCTGTAATTTTAAAGTCTAAGATCTGTATAAAAGTAACTCTCAAATATGAATAAACGGCGATCAGTCAGACCAAAATTTTACTTCTTTATAACTGGATTTTGCAAATCTTCACTAGCATAGAGAAGATTTTTTAGCCTAGGACCTACGAAGTTTAATGGCATATAATAATTTTGTTATATTAAATCACTTCAAATTTCATTTAAATATACTAAGTAATTGTTCAGTCTAATGTATATTGGCAATTATCAATCAGTGAATGAGTAAAAACTTCATCATCAAAATAAGTTTATTTGTCTCAAAATTTAAAACTATGAACAAATATCTACATTGGTTAAGTTGTTTCTTTTGAGCTAAAATATCCCCTGATACTAGTTACCAGCTATCATGTACAAAAAGTCCTATTGTAGCTCTTCTTGGGCTACTGACGGTCCCAAGTCCGGGTAAGGGAGGAGAGTTAAAATAACGGGTCGACAATCCTATCGCGTAGAAAACAACCTAGCTAAAAAAACACTAACAAGAATAAACAAATTAAATCACTTAAACTCTGTCCTGGGAGTCGAAGGAACAATTATGACACCATATGATGAAAGCCGATATTCTTCGGAAGTCACTAGGCTGATAGCCCTTCTAAACACCAAAGAAACCATTTTTATAGGTATATAGAATATCCGGACAGTATGGGAGAACGGAAGGATCAGTTAAACAGCAACGAAAATGAGGAGATACAACTTGGTGGTGCTTGGAATCACTAAAACCCATTGAACTTAAGCTGGATAGAAAAGGATAGATTCTGGAGAGATGTGGTGGTACACTGGTCACGGATAACAAAATGCTCCACACACACAGGGAGTTGCTCTGATGCTGTCCAAAGAAGCACATAAAGCACGTACAGGATGGGAATCTCATGGACCAGGATCACCAAAGCATCATTCAAAAGGAAGAAGGAGGGGATCACAATGAATGTTATCCAATGTTATGCACACAACAGTGATAACAACGAAGATGATAAAGATCAGTTTTACGAGAGGTTGCAATTAATCATACAGAAATGCTCAGGAAAGTACCTGACCATCCAGATGGGAGATCTAGACGCCAAGGTCGGGGTGTACAACAGCGGTTATGAAGATATTATGGGACGAGATCTACGCAACAAAGAGGAGGCTACCATGGAAGACAACCGGAAGAGGGATTAAAAAGCATTAACTTCAAAGTGTCGGGAGATTCTGGGCCGCAACAGTCATAATCATGAAGGTTGAGTCTCTATCGAAACCCTGGATACGATTCAAGAAAGGAAGAACAAGAAGACAGCAATTAACAACGGCTGAACAAGAACAAAGAAAGTCAAGGCACAAGCTGAATACGCAGAACCAAACAAGCGAGTGAAGAGGAGTATCAGGGCTGACAAGCAGATACACATGGAAGAACCAGCGACGACAGTGAAAAAAGCTGCAAGGGAAGAAAAAAATCAGACGACTGGGAAATATAGTAAACCAGAGCGATCAGTCAGGGATGAAAACGTCAAGACAATCACTGAGATTCAAGAACAGAGGAGTAGATGGGTGGAATATTTCGATGAACTGTTGAACAGACCAGCTCCATTGAATCCATCAGATACCGAAGCAGCACCTACAGCCGTTTTATAGATGTCACTCCATCAGCGATCAAAAAAATCAAGATGGCCATCACACAAATCAAGATTGGGAAAGCAGCAGAATAAGACAACATACCAGCTGAAGCACTAAAGTGAGACATAGAGGCAACTGCAAACATGCTCCACGTTCAAGAAGATTTGGGAAGAGGAACAAGTGCCAAAGGCAGACTGGACGGAAGGACACCTCATCAAGATACCAAAGAAACGAAATATGAGCAAATATCTAAACTACACATGTACCACACTACTGTTGACTGGATTATGAAGACCTCCACATCTGACCTGAAGCACAGAATACGATGTACAGATTGGATCTAGCTCTTCTGTCCGATACAAAGAAACAAATACAGATGAAAACAGCCAGTGTAGCGGCAGCATACACAACATACACAAGGAAAAAAACCAACATCCTCAGTTACAACAAAGAGAACGTCAACTCATTCACCCTTGAGGGAGAAGCTCCGGAACAGGTGGAAAGTTTCACGTATCTGAACAGCATCATCAATGAACTTGGAGGACCCAATGAAGACGTAAATACAGGGATTGGCAAATCAAATGCAGCATCCCGACAGTTGAAGAACATATGGAACTCAAAACAACTGTCAATCAACACCAAAGTAAGAATCTTCAATATGAACTTCAAGACAGTTCGACTGTATAGAGATGAAAGTTGTATAACTACCACAATCATCGTCAAACATGTATAAGTATTTATAAACACTTATATTTGGTAATTGATAACACTGACTGACCTTAGACAACCATCTAAAATCAGGAAGCAAGTGACGGATATTTGTTTTTAGTACTGTTGTTTTTAGTGCTCATTTACGTCCATACCAGAAAATGAACCCATAGTTTCAATTCTTGTAGTGAGTGTATTACTTCAGGATACTGAACTGGCAGTCATTGGTTAATATTTCTATCTTCAATCAGTTTGTCGTTTTGCTCATATACCTATTATCATTGATAAGTGTCTTACACCTAACATTTTAGAAATCTATCGGTCATAGCTCCCCAAAAGAGCTGCCGAAATAGTCTTTGAAAATCAAAGTTATATACTTACACTCGAAGCAGATTAACTTTTAAAGGTCAGGTCAAACAGTATGGCTATAAAATGAAATAATCTTTCTTTAATCTACTTAATACACTATTAAGTAGAATTATTATTGTTGGAAAGCAATATCATACAAGCACAATTCAGTTTATTTCAAGCTCATTAGTTTGAAGGGTGTAATCTTCTTAGGTTAAAATAAAAAAATCAATGTATCCACTTACTTTTCATCTAATTTTCTGTCACATAGTGAACAAAGAAAGTGTTCAGGGCAATAAATTTTATTAGTAAATTTAACCAATATACCAGTAACCGGTTTCGCACATATATGACACACACTTCCAATTCTAGATTGATAATGTATTAGGCAGTAGGCGTGTCCTTGCCACTCATAAAACCTACTACCCATAAATGGTATTTCACAGTGATGACATACAAAATGTTCAACATGCCAGACTTTACCAAGTGCCCAAACTATACGACCCTCAATCGGACGTCTAAATTAAAGAAACAAAGTGAAGAAAAGTAACTAAATGTAACTGACTCAGTATGTTTCCACATCTAAACATTCTTAGTGAAATCTAACGCATATCATTCCATGAATTTCAAAAACCGTATCAATTAATTAACAAATATTCGTGTCGGAAGAAGCAATTAGTGACCGTGAATTTATACGTTCATTTATATACTAAGTATCCAAAGTATGAAGTACTATTACTCAAAGATGAGAATTCAGCTCAAGAACCGACTACTAATCCTTCATTTCTGAATATTAACCGTAGTTAAATTCTGTTAAAGTCATAAATAGGAAAAAAGCGTCTTTTGCACAATCTTCTTACGTGCTAGTACTACACACAGTAGCAGATGTTTGATAATAAAATTGAATCTTTCATGTGTTCAAAACGTAAAATGTCAATGATAATATAAAACAAGCAATCTTCAGTGATCTAATTTTCCAACCAATTACATAAGCACAGATAGGTGTGAGTTAAGGGAGAAAAAATCTAGTGTTTTGACGATTCCCATAGGTATCAGTTACTCAAAATAACGTAATGGTTATTCAGAACAATGAAAATATTTACATCTTATGCTGGAGACCTTTAAACACTACTACAGAAAATCCGTTGCATAGTTATCTTTTTTAAGTTCTTGATAACTGCATTGATTCAAATATTAAGGAAGTATAAAACATATTCACCGTTTCATTTTTCCCGATCTAAGCCTAAACTATGTTATGTTACCAAGTCATTTGGTAGAAAGACAACTACTTCAATGTGTTAGCGTAAAATTTTAAAAGTAATGCCAACGTTCATTGTCCTGAAAAACAACAGTTTGAAACATCTTTTTTTACAGATTGATAAAAATGAGTGTAAATAGAAACGAAATTCTTATCGTGTCACATATCATTTTTTTTGTGGAAATAAGGCTTCACTGTCTCAAATCCGTATTATATGATTAATAATTATCTGGATTACAAAACTGTCTATGGTTCACAGGTGTTTAAACATAACAGAACATCTCTGTCATTAAATCTTAAAGAAAGATTTCTAATCCTACCTGTATTTTTATTAGTCCAAAAGTAACATAAAAATAATTAAAAGTTTTGTTTAACAGTTTATTCTTTCATTAATACATGTTGCTAAACAGAGAGGGATCTTGTGGAGATTGTAGTAATTTAATAATTGAATCCATGAATCAATTAAAGCTAGACCACCATAGAAAACCTGAAAGTACTGGACGGCCGTTTCATCCTAATATGGGACTCCTTAGCATTGTGTGTTTACAATAAGTCATTTTTAAATGTGAACTGAATGAGTAAACGAATAAATCTGGAATCTTGTCTTCGGTTTTTATATATTCATTACAACACTGTCTAACGTTTAATTGGACTAATACAATATCGGTAATGACTGATTATGATAAAATACAATATGTTTGCAGTAGATTAAAATGTCCCTGAAATTAAATTTGAACTCTTGATCTACTGTCCTTTACTTTATTTTCTAACCTCTCACTTTTTGATTTGACAAAGATACATTTTTCCTAACTGAGTTATTCAAACTATACAAACCAGTAGATCTTACATTGAGTTTTCTTCATATCAAATGTATCAGATTTTTGGAAGAACAATTAATCATTCATTGAGACTAAACTAAATATCTATTGTTTGGTCTTATCAATAAAGAGTGAATCTAACCTTCTCTATTTTATGTAGGAATGAAAATCTTCATTTTTTTACTAAACGATCAAAATTTATCAAACGGTCTAATTACTTCAAAAGTCAAATCAATTTCCATACATTCAGAGTTTTCTTTTACTCATATGCAATTGTTATTATCCAAACTTGAAAAGAACAAAATTTATCTGAAATTAATCTAATATTTAAAAAAAATTGCAACAATTATTGGTTTACCTGCATGCTGAGCATATTGATACACCAGAACGACTGAAACATTTAAGACAATATAATTCACCACCACGTTCATGTGCATCCATACCAAGTTCTTGATCACAATCATAACAATGAAAATGATGTGGATGATGAAAATCACCCATAAATTTGATGTGTTTATTTAATTCAATTGGTTCATTACATGTTTGACATATGTGATATCCAACTAATTCTTGACATACAACAGACCAACAATCTTTACACAGGATTCTATCAGAAATTCATTACAATACACAATGGTTATTATATTAACATATTGCAGAACACAATCATTTATCAAGAAAACTGAACATTGAAGGTATCAACTACATACACGAAATAGGCTTTAAGACACTAAAATCATTCCAATGAGTAGAATAATTAGATTTTGTGACGTTTAGTTATTCATTTTCTGAAGAAGTGGCTTACACTAAGTCATGAAATAATACTGATTTATCACGATAACTTCATGTTTGTGTGTATGTATGCTTATGCGTGAGAACATTCTTCCTATTGACATGCTACATGACACTAACATTTGACTTTATCTCAAACATAAAGTTATCTTTCTCGTCAATCTATTTTTGTGGACCATGATTAGAATAGGATCTAAGATAAGGTTATGGGGTATATTTACTTACAACTGTTTTTCCAAATTGCACTACTTCTATTTTCATTATCTCCTTATTGATAGCAATTTTATTTCAGTTGACATTCTGTTTTGGTTCCAGGGATATTAATTTCCTTTCTTTAATCGACCAACTATGAGTTGATACAATTAGTTTATTTCTTAAGGATTGAATGATGCATTTTGCTTTACAGAAACATGTTTTTTTATGAGAAGTATTTAGTTCATGTGTTAACTAGATGAATTAGTGTCAGGTATTTTCATATATTTTATTTATATTCTCATTTGTATATACCGCCATTCAGGGTTGGATGGAGAATGCTGGTGAGCGGCCTATGCTACTTCACGAGGAGTAGCAGGCGTAAGTAAGTAAGTAATATACCGCCATTATTTTCGCTTTATTATGTTCTAATAAATTTGATGGTAGATGACTGTGACTGAGGAATCCAATTGCACAAAACTATTGAAATTTCAAACATTTTAATCATTGTAACACTCGATGTTCTATTTATTTTCAAAATATTTGAAACCGAGTCTAATCACTTTTTCGTAATTTAATATGTCAAGTCATAAAAGACTATATTTCATTTTCTTTTTTTTACATGACTATGAAATACCCTAAATTCAAAAACAAATATATTGATGATGTCTAACCTTAATCAATCCACGAAGTTGCACGATTATCTTCTATTGTACTGAGATAGATACTTGTCTCTATTCAACACGGATCAGCTCCACTAGTCACAGCTTCTCATTAGAACTCCGAGAATTCATTCACGAAGCTAGACATAAATACCGTTAGATGCTTGCCAGCTCAGTTGTCTAGAGGTTAAGCACTCGTGTGCGAGACTGAAAGCCCTAGCTTCGAGTCTCGCGAGCGGGATCGTGGATGCGCACAATAGGACGAAACGGCCATCCAGTGCTTCAATCAGTTCATGATCTCAATCAAAAACTTAATATTCTCTACAACCCTATACTGATATTGATAATATACGATGTTTATCATGAAATCAATATACGTCAGTTATTAATCTTTGGTTTTTATTATTACAGTAACAAAACTAGATGAAATGAAGTGAAACATTATGTGTAAATATACAAATGCTTTTTTTTCTTGGAAAGCTTTCTGTGTTTCATTTAAATAAACTTTGATTTTTCTCTTTTACTGAAATACACACCATTTAAATAAACATTTATCTTGGATTTTGATTCATTCTATTGTGAATTTGACAAATTTATCTAGTTTATACTAGTAGTTTGGTATAAAAAGGAGTTGATTGAAGTCATTTTGTTGCTTTAGTGAAAGATATTGAAATGTGTACTTACACTTTTAAAGGAATATTAATGTGTTTATATATGTATACTTAGTTAATGTATACAATTAAAGTTAAATGTATACATACATGATCATATAATGTACTTAAATGATAATAAAATCTAGTTCATAAATCAACAAAGAAATGGAGCCATGTGACATTCAATAATTAATGAAAATATAATAATTCTGTTTATAACTTAAAAAGATTGCTTGAAAGAAACACTTTATAGTGTAGTAAGCCCATTCAACTATCATATTTCACAGTTCTATAATATACCCTTGTGGGCCAGGGTACTTTTACATTGGTTTTCAGGAGAACCAGACACCATCTGTACCTTCACGTGACAACCCAAACAGTACAGCTCAACCCCGTTTTGCCGGAGAACCAGACACCGTATAGGCTTTAACGCTACAATCTGAATAGTACAAATCAATCCAGTGGCGCAACCACACAGGTACCAAGCACCCTGGTGGACCATTCAACTAATGTATTATTTATTTGCTCACTGTAATTTACACACTTAATCCACTATGTAATTTTCTGTGTGAGTTTGATTGAGCACATGAATGCACATCAATCTTTAATCGTTTCTCCCATTGGTTGTAATACACAGACAATCAATAATTTATCCATATTTGATTAACACACAAAATGACATATGGATTTATAACACACACTCTTGGTTACCCTGTACGCTTGTGGATTTTGCCAATCTTTAACAATAAATTATCTCTCTAACTGGTGTTCAGGCTTTTAAATAATCTTGAGTAAATCTATAATTTATCCTGCATTAAATACTCAGTTAACAGGATACTATTTATTGGAGACAGATATAGAGGAAACTAGCCTCTACAATAGTACCAATATGTTAATATTACATTTATTATGATTTACTTAACGCTATGATTTATCTTGAGATTTTTACCATAACAGATATACAATACAGACCTCTGAAACATATGAGTGTTAAAATAAAAATCATTTGCTTTGACAATCAGTATTGATTGATTGTATCAGAATGTGAATACTGGACGGTAACTTGAGCATGACCCCATTGATAATGTGATGATTCAGTCAAATAAGATTTATTTTATAGACGTGATGACAAGCAACATTAGTAAGCACAAAATTTTGCAATCATCTCTTTTGAGTTAGCCATTATAAATTACAACCCCCAAGTTATTAGTACTCTACGCCTTTCTAACCATGACTTTTGTACAAAACGTTGAGAAGGCCCTTTATTAGGTGAAATGGTTGTCTAGTGTTCTCTGGTTTCTGCTGTGTTATTTTCGATAAAAAATTTCATTTCATTTTCAGTAGTATTTTTATATCTCACTCGCCATATATTACCTACATTTATTCTGATTATTGATTTAACAATTTTATGTGAAGTTTAAACGTATGAAAGTTAACATAACATACTAGTAATTTTAATATTACTAGTTTTGTTGAGATCATGAACCAACCAATGTTAGACCATCATTCAAAGCTTGAAAGCAGTAGACAGCCATTTCGCTTTAGTATGAGACTTCTCAGCAGTGCAAATTAACACCGTTAGATGTCGGCTTAGTAATCTAGACGTTAAGTGTTGACACGAGACAGAAAATCCTGAGTTTGAGTCTCACAAGCAGGATTGTGGATGCGCATCTCTGAAGAGTCCCATGTTAGGACGAAACGACCGTCCAGTGCTAACAGGTTTTCAATCGTGGTCTAACACTGATTGATTCATGGTCTCAATAAAAACTCAATAATCTCCACAACCCTATACTGATATTTAATAATTTTATTTTACTGACAATTTTGTACTCAAAAGCTGTATTCGTTTTATATCTGACAGGTCCGTTAGATTATAAATTTAAACATATAAGTGTATAACCTGATGTAAGTTTATTGTAAATAATAATTATTTTTCGTATTCATCAATGTGCCAATGAGAAAGAGTTAATTTTTGAATCATATAGAAAAAAATTTGTCATTCCACTTGCCTTGTTTTATGTCTTTGAAATCCTTTGCTTACTATTTGAATACCACATTCATCACAGACTAAACATTCAGGATGCCAGCTTCGATTCATTGCTTTTACCACTTTTGACATGATAAATTCACCTAAACAGAAAAAAATCAACATTATCAATTGAATTTTACAGGTTTAGAATGAATTTAGGTGTGAACACTAATGTCCAGTGCATATAACAATCTATGTCGGTCTTTACAAGACCTTTGGTAGTTTCGTATAACAAATGGTAACTTTATTCAGGATTTTGACACATGTACTCTTAAAAACAGCGTAAAGTACAATACTATTATTCAAGCATGTTTAGAAGGAAACTTGATTTTTCGCTCGCGTTCAACCGCTTCTAGAATAATTTAGTTTTTTCTGAGTGGTATTCTAACTAAAGATAAACTTGAATTGATATATGTTCGGTGTAGCGTTATACTCTATACTCTTATTAGTGATTATATTTTAGACTATCAACCAAGACTCACTTAGCTAGGACTTGTGAACGAACTTATTATAAAAGTTACTTGAACAAAATATAATCGTTTTCTTCTGCAACCTGAAGGTATTATTATTGACATTTAATAATGAGATCCATTTAGTTAAATCTCTAAGTTATAGGATTCTTTACTTAATATCAGAAGATACTTTGTTTTAAATCCACTCTTGTGTGAAATACCTTAGAAGTAATAATCTGTCACAATCTATCTGTGTAACAAACTCACTACAATCGTCTGTATGACACTTGGATAACATCTAATTTTCTTAAACAGTCTTAGAAACAGTAACACTAATAATTATATCTTGTTCCACCAATCAAATTATAAGTAGCTTAAATGAGCCATTACTTATTTTTAAGTACACTTGTCAAACCTTCCTTCGTACCGATATCTTATGAAATTACTTTATTACAAGCTAATATTATAAATCACTTCCGATATACATGTCTAGTCTCATATCTAATCTTATATTTTTCATTTACTTTATTATTAAATAAAACTTAAATAAATCATTGCATTAGGAATAGACCAAGAACATATACGACAATAGACCTGTTGTAATAACTTTTATTATTTCCTTCTTTTTAATTGTAGATAATTATAAGTACTCTTTCAAGGATTGAAAATATCTTACCCAACACTATTTATTCACAGTAGTGTTGTATTAATTATTATTACTAAGAAAATACTGATTCTTATATGACATTTACATTCCAATATCTTATATCGTTGTAGCTATACTACTTTCATAGAATATTTATTTTCTTGTTACCCGACTTATTAAAGAAAACGCTATGGTTACAAGAAAAATAACTATTAGTGTGGTATATTTTTTTGATCAATATATGCTTCACAATATTCAAAACCTTGTGACAAATGTTTATTCAAAAATGATATGTAAACCATAACTTTTTAAATACCTTTAATAGTTTTTTGAATATTGTAACCATTTAATATTAACTTAATCATTCCCATGAATAAGCGTAGTTATCTTTAGGTCTTTTCAATATATATGTTATTATTATTATTGATTACCATTACAATATTAATCAGACAATATTGTTTCATTTAAGATTTATAATAGCTAATAAAATGAAAGTAAATAATCTACTTAACTAAATACCGACTTACCACATTTAAAACAAAATGGTGCAAAAAGTACTTGAAAATCATATTTGCAATATCTTCGACCTTCGAACTAAAATTGTTGAGAGAATGAATGATTAGAAATGAAATTCAATTGATGTTTGTGATAACACAAAACTTCCTAAACAAGTATTGTAGTTAGATAAGTTATTTATGTCAGTAATTTACTGAAAAGTTTTTCTGTTTAATGCTGATTGGTATCATGAATAAAAGTCCGCTAGAAAACCAAGTACCAAATGTGTGGTTAATATAGGGATTTTAGGAAATTGTAGTATTTTTACAGTGACCTTGAGGGTAGCGTTCGTAAGGGTGAAGGAAGGGTCTGAGTTTAGGTCCCGCGTGTGGCATATTGAATGCTCACTGTTGAGTAGTCGCATACTAGAACGAAATGGCTGTCCAGTGCTCCAGTTTAGATCGATTCGTGAATTCAGCTGTAAAATAATTATATAGTCATCAGGTAATTGCTGAGTTCCAGTTTAAAAAAATACAAATCATTCGTCATCGTGATTGAAATTGAAATAGAGCTCAGCCACTTTAGATCTTTCAATAAATAATGTAATGTTTGAAGTCATAATCGCTAATTTTGGTCAATTTTCATGTCGGTACAACATCGTCTAATATTATAAGCAAAGATGGATAGTGGCTAGCAGTGGAATCCAGGACGCACGTTTCGTCCTGTTTGGGACTCGTCAGCTGGATGTACCTGCATCTCAGAGTTGATGTTCACTCTGGGACTCGAACTCAGTACCGTTCAATTTCAGTCCAAAAACATCAATGGGAAGATTCAAGTAAAACAATATCAAGTGAATTAAACTTCAACCCATTGCACAAGCAAGTGGCTATCAGGACTCAGTAGCTAAGTGGATAACGCGATGGCGTTTGAAGCGAACGGTACTGAGTTCGAGTCCCAGAGTGAACATCAACTCTGAGATGCAGGCACATCCAGCTGACGAGTCCCAAACAGGACGAAACGCGCGTCCTGGATTCCACTGCTAGCCACTATCCATCTTTGCTCATAATGCTTGTAAATTTAGGCAATATCGAGGCATACGCACAGTATGCACATATGCCAATAAGAGACTGATCAATTTCAGTCCAAAAACATCAATGGGAAGATTCAAGTAAAACAATATCAAGTGAATCGTCTAATATTCTTTGAGGGTGACAGGTTTATGTGAACTACATACAAATTACTGGTTTTCTTCCTGTGAGAAGCTCATTAATTTGCATTGTTTTGGACTATTACGTTATTACTTCCAAGATTTCTTTTAAAACGTATCCGAAAAATAAGTAAAACTTTTAGCAGAACGAAAATTTCAACATATACACTTAGAGCTTCCTTCCACCAACTTTTGCGACATGTAACGGATGTGAAATGTCTATTCGCAAGCTATGTGGGGAGTATACTGGATACCAGTTTCATCTTCATTATTTAGTCATTTTAAAAAAGCAACTTTTACTGCTGAAATAAATATCTGTATCGCTAGTATTTAATTACAAGAAACACCATAACACCGTCAGTATATTGTAGATTTACTGAATAATGCTGAGTATGAATGTTGTTCTCTGGCAAATCTTCGCCTACTTCAACTAACTAAATAACCGAAACATAATCAGATTCGTAAATTTAATATGAGTAATACGTAACTTTGGGATTAACTTACCTCATAAAATTCTTTATTAGATAATGGTTGTAAACATTGAGTACATCTTCAGAGTTGAATGAAAGAAGTGAAAAAAAGTGTTGAAGAAAATAAAAAAATTCATTAATTAAAAGCATTTTACGTGTGAATGACATAATTATTATGTAATTAGAGTTGTTCACTCATTTTCTAGAAAAATAAAACTAGTTTACCAGTACCAAATGAGAAAAATTCATTTTGCTTCAAAACGTTTTCATCAAATAGATAGACTGGAGATACATAAATAGACTATCTTCAATAAAATTATATTCATGCGATGCGATTAGAAGGATCAAGCCTATAATCTCTTACAGGTCTTTACTGGATAGTTCAGAAACAGGATAACAACTAGGTCAATAAACATAAGTGATAAAACACTACATGTCCCCTACCAGTTGTATAACAAATTTATCTGATAGTTAATAAAGTTCATGACTAGACTGATGAGATTGGATATGGTCAATGAAAAGCCGAAAACCTCCTAAGAAGTTCAATATTTACAATTTGTAATTTACTAACAGTATATAGTAAGACATGTTAGCGATGGATCGAACGGATGTTTATTCGCCAATGATGTCGTATCATCAGGCACAGAATTTTTCATATATTTTATTTAGATTTTCAACCTATCTTTGAACTCACACATTAATTTGTATAAAGAAGACAATATCGTATAAAACTTACCTAAAATAATGTATTAGTAGCCATTTTTAACTGAAGTCTATTTTAGTCTTGTAAATCTCTCGACCATGAATTATGATTTCGCAGACTGAGAAGCTATACATCACAAATAACTGATTGACTAAAGGCGACATTATTTAATAGGCTATGTGATGTGCCTCTTGTAAAATGAGCTGGATATACAAATATTATTTAGATCTAAAAGAGTTGAAACAGTATTCTAGAATAATAAACTATGGTCTAGTCCGTAAATCGGAAAATCTTGACTGTATGAATGTACAGTGTGATGCATTGTGTTTGTTTCGTAGTGTCTTAAAATTTTACATATTAAACAGAAATCCGGTTGTTTTTAGGTATGTGTTATTAGTTTTTGTAAGCTTTGAACTAACATTTATATCTAAAAGAATGTTTATGTAAGATTAAAGTAAACCCCATTGATACTTATTGTTTTGTGAATATAAACCCCATTTGCAAACGATTTCATCTCTATTACATACCTATGGTATATCATTAAAAGTTACATATACTACCATACTAATATTTCTGGTGATATTTATACCATAAATAATCCGGGAACAGTTTATGTTACTTCAAAATAAAACTCATCTAACTTGTGTCTAGTCATAAGTAAATATAGAACAATTCATTAAATAATTTATTATTTTACAAGTGATAATATTCAACAGTAACTAGTTAGTAAACTATGAACTATGAATCAGTTGCATGTACCTACATCCATGTGTCAATGATCCTATAATGCCGTATACCTGGTGCTTAACTTTTTAAACTGTGAATATGTTATATAGTTGGCTATTGATTTGATTTTTACTGCAACTACGGTATTTAGTATTTAGATAGTTGCTAGCAGGGAAGTTCAAGACACATGTTTCGTCCGATTTGATACTCTTCGACTAGACGTAACTACATTCCAGAGTCGGTGTTCAAACCGTTATTAGAAACAATTAACTTGGCAATATTGTGGCGATCCACAATTGAAGGACACTGACCAACTTCAATCCTAAGAATCAATGGGAAGAATAAATAATTAATACAAATGAATTATGATATTTATAATTGTTAATATTTTTCACAAATAGTTTTGTTAGTTTCTTTAAATCATTGACCTTTCTGTATGCATTTATAGTTCTTAGCTTTTGTTCTATTTTTACATTTTTAATTTATGATCAAGGGAAATTTATTACAAAAAATTTAAACTTACACAAAACATGTCGGGTGATAGATGTCATTTTTAACACAAACGATATTTTCATCTTCAGTAAACGGTTCATCACATCGTTTACAATGAGGTTCTTCAGAAGTATCATGTCTAAATATTTAAAGATAATTAAAACACATTTTATTATAGTTAGTAACTAAAAATCAAATGTTTATTACATTCTGATACTTAATGATCGTTGTATCAAAGTCTGTCTGTGACTTAAATATCCTATCTGTCTGATGAAGATGTATTCGTGTTTGTTCAGTTCTCATCTACATACAAATATCCATTTTGCAATTTGCTATACACTACTCGTTTATTCTAATCAGAAGAATGTTTTGAAACACTTATTCCGAATTTTTCAGGAATTTCAGAAATTTTATAAATACCGTAGTTATACTTTTGTCCGTTTACTAGTAAAAAAGGAGTTAGGAACAAAACTACGTTTTGATATATGTTCCAACCGTAAAGCTAATTAATCAGATATTTTTTCTTGAGACAGTTATTTTTAAATTGATATCTAGAATGGCTTTACATTTTAGTGACATCCATAAACACTAAACCATAAATATGATGATAAGCAAAGATGGATGATGTCTACCAGTGGAATCCAGGACGCACGGTATAAATATGATTGTACTATAATTTTGTAGAATAACTACCGTAACTTCTACTGCTTATATTTCGGTTACAATTGTAATGAGGAAATTGTAAAGCTTTCCTATCGAGGCATATTCATGGAAATTTTTTATAAAGAAAAGTTTCAGAAAAATTGATCACTTTTAATTCAGTTTATATCCAGATTCCTAGTCGGCGAAGTAACTATGTCTGGATAATTGGGACACGAAGTATGGTCAACTTGTTTGAACTGGCATAGTAAGACAATGGTAAAATTGTGAATAACAGCGAAAGAAATATGAGGAGTCACTGGAGAAAATAAAGATGTTGTTACAAAAAAAAATTTTTCTTCAAGACATTCTCAGTTACTAGAACACACAGACGTATTTATATTTATATTTTTACATCTAGTGGCTCATAATGAAATAGAGAATTGTAGAGTCGTTATTATATGTACTGCTAAAGATTCAACAGTAAAACGATTGACTGATTTCTATTGGCCTCCCAAAGACCATGCTGAGGGGTGATTGGATATCAGTTCAGAAAGAGCACGCTTATGCAAACAATAATTTATGCTCTCCAGATGCAGGTTAACTTGACAGATACACATTAGGTTGGGTCAAAATGACAGTTAATCCTTGACAAATTCTCGGATCAAGCATGTTCTACAAAATATCTTCAAAAAAAAGACATTTTTCTCCGGCAAAACAATTGAGTAATTTAAATCAAATTCGAAAATAAAGAATCTCTCATATTCAAAGCCCAACGATGTTTTTATAAACTGTTAACATTCTAATGACTTAAATACCTATTTATGCAAATTTTAAAAATTCCGGTAATTTATATGTGGCTTCCTAAGCTGAAATAATAGAATGTTTTACAACTTTATGAAAACATAACAATTGAAAATATCGTAACTTAAAAAAACCATGATTAAAACTAAGATGTACGTAAATGATATTGAAAACTACAACTCTATTTCTTTTCAATAGTTTGATCACGACAAAAGTAATAATGTTTGTAAAAGTGATATAAGTGACTCCATTTGTGTTGCACACTTTTTACTAGTACTACTCATTAATAATTGCTGCTCATCATTTCGCTCAAACCGAGATTTTAACATGTAATCATTTAACCAATGAATTGAAATTTAATAATTCATAATTTCATCTGTCGGTTGCTATGTCCAAGCCCATATAAATTATTCTAGTTTCCGGACAGGCCAATTTATTCATTCTTTTTGAGTCCCATTTTGATTTTGTTAATTAATCGCTTATCAACCTTGACTGTTTTTATGTAAGTGTATGTGTGAATGTCTTATCTTACACATCACATGTCTGTAACTTGTTTTTATCTGAATATAAATATTAATTAATACTTGGTTAAATCGAGTTGGTTTTCTCAACTTCTCCTCTGCATGTCATTTTGTTTCACTTCTCACTCTCCTCTTCGCTACCTTCTCTGCGATTCTCTGACTGTTTGTTCAGATCAACGATTGTCTGAAATATACGCTTTCAAACTTTATTCTCGTATTTGTTTTATTGAATCCTGTTATTCATTAACGCTAGTTAAGTCGATAATTATATGTGAGGATTGACAGTATGTAAAATCCGATTACGATAATCACATGATCCAATTAGAGTCAGATATTCGAGAGCCACTAAAAATTTAGTGGGAAACTGAGTTCGAGTTGTAGAAGATCCATATAGCTTAGTGGTATTTTGAATATTGTAGTTACCTATTCGCTTGGTAAAGCAACTCCTACTAATACTGTAAATGATAAATTAAATAAAAAGTCAAAGACATGAAAGACGGATAACGGAAAAAAACTCACTAAACTCTTTATCTTATCCTTGTATTTTACGAAATTTAAGGATAACATGAAATAAGACTTTTGAGATAAGGGGACCAGTTAATACCGCTAAGGGAAGGGGATATATGAGATATATCCTTTTAACAAATTCTAATGTTCAGACAGTATCCTATCTATCTCGGTTAGTTTATATCTAAGTCATTTCAAGCAAACAATGATAATGGAAATATTACTCTAAACAATGCAGAGTGATCCATGATATCATTTAATGATATAAATTGGGATTTATGAATACTTGTATGGCTTAAAAATATATTAATGGTAAACTGGCCATTTCAACAGTCTTGAACAATATCTTACATAACTTTTTGAACCTGCTTGATTCAAAGATTGAATCATAGCCAAAAGATTTGCATGAAACAACTCAGTTGTATATACATAGGTTAATAACACTTAATTTGACTCGTAATAAAAAATTACAAAATATTTCGTAAAATTAACGACTTTTGTGAATCAAAACCATCCGAAACAAATCTATATTAACTGATATTAATCTCACCTATAAGACATAATTATACACTTATATATTGGGAGGAGAATGTACTAATTTGATTAAAATATCAACCAATCTATTCGGTTTATCTATTAAATACTTATAAAAATGTAACTCACGTTACAATATTTTCAACTTTGTTGTCATTAAATTTGACAGCCATATGATCACTGCCTAACTCCTGCTTGTTTCGCACCTCATGAAGCATTGGTCGTTTATACATAGATATATATCACAATGTTTATTATTATTAATATTACCAATCTTAGTTTTGTTCCATAAGTAATAGTGAATTTGAAATAATTTTATCTTGTGATAACCAACTTATAAAAAGTTGTTATGATTACACAGATACACAGATACATACATACATTTGATCTATAAATTTAATGATAATCATTAAATTGACACTGAAATGATCGATTTTCCTGGATAAAATTCACTTTTTCTTTAAATGGTATGCTACATTATATTATTGTTGACATCATGCATATATATATATATATATATATATATATATCATAGCAAATGTTTAAGAGGTACACCATAGTCGACACCCACTCATATTACTTCACTTAAAAAATGTCTCTACCATGTTTAGAGTTGTATAAAAATCTGATAGTTGATCATTATTAATAATCTTTCTTCTTATTCTTGTCCTGTTGGTTGTTTCACTCATATACATTACAAAGTGAAATGTAATAAAGAAAAAACTAAAGAAACTTCATTATAAGGAGATTTTGACCTCAACCCCTATTCGTTTTATGGATTAGATCACTTCTTGTTTCACTTAGTACTTGGTACTCATTATTTTCATAAGAAATATTTGTTATCGATCATACATGTCAGAATATAAAGTAAACTTATACTGATATACTATATAACTATACTTACATAAATATTCATAAATCATTTCAATGTTCAGTAGTCTGAAGGGTATGTGTGATTGAAATTATTGAATAATTACTGATTTCTTAAATACCATAACTCTATTCGATAAAGAAAATAAATTACTTAACTAGAGAGTTTAAGCATGCATTTATCTTTAATAAAACTAGACATATGCTTGCTAAACCGCTTACTATATATATATTTTACATTGATCACAAAATCAAATGCTAAAAGATTTATGAAGAGCTTTATTATTTACTTTGCATATATTTTTTGAAAGAATTATCTTATTTCAGAACAAATAAAGGAATCTCTGATTGAACTTACTAGACATTGTTTTTACTTTATGGCTGTACTACGCGATAACTGTTTTGATGGTGTCTGCGATATCTAGTCAGTAATTGTTGTTTGTTCTCTAGCTATGTTGAACAGTATTATTTACTATTGAAAATATCTAGTTCACATGCGAATATTGTAGTAATGAGGACGAAAAAGCCTTGAACACTGTATAAAATTGATCCGGAAATAAATATTTATTACGTATTGATTGTATTATTTAGTGAACAATATGACTGACTGAGAAATCGATTTATCGATGCTGTTGTTCTTACTCACTGCATCAGTGTGTACAAAAGGTTTTATATTGCACTTGATGCTTGTTTCGGTAAGTAAAATGTAGCTTATTGAATCAATAGATATTAGCCCCTTAAAAGGGACTTTCATTTCAAGAGTCATTTAACTAAATAGTTTATTCGTTGAGCATTAAAACACCACGACCACCTAGAGATTAAACGGGGTATCGGATAGTACCAGCATCATAAAGCAAAATATTTCAATAGGTGCAAGGCATTATAGAGATTTTGCATTATTGAATCGGATGAACCAATGTAACCAAAAAGAGATAAAAATAATCATTTAGAGTTTTAATTGTTAGTTCTGTCTCGGGTATATGTAAACTGTTTAAACTTTTCAAATTACATACTGATTGTCAAGACTACACCTACTGACGAATCTAATCTCTATTGAGACGGCTAAACCAATGAATTCTAAGAAACCAATTGCGAAGCAAATATATCTTTAAATATAATAAAGTGTCATTCCACGTGGTTTCAAAAAACCTTCCTATTGGATTTTTCCTTTCAATAAAGTTAATGTTGCATCTTAGTATTATGTACTACTTGAGAACTGAGTAGTATCCGAAGTCATAGCTAGCAGTTTGCGGTACAAATCGGATTATTCTGATCAAGTTACAGTCCAACTACTAGCGAGATTGACTTGATATTCTGATGCACAGGTGGATGACAGTTCAATGAGGCTATCTTGTTTTCGCAGATCACACGTCACCTAAATAACACAGTAGTAAAAGCGTTTCACTGAGACAGTGAGTCAAACGTTTACGAAGGTATGGACAACCAAAGGTTATTCGACAATTGAATTTACATCTTATCCATGAGCGAAAAATGTCAAGAAAACATGGATGAAGTTATTTCTCCCAATTTCGCCCAATCAAATAAAATATGTTAATAAACACTTATTTTTTGTACTCGTAATCAAGCACACGGTATTCGAATATTTTAATAAATATTAGTGAATGAGCTAATTTAATGAATTATTAAACAAACATTTATAATTGAATGAAACTAAATTTTAGTCTAACACAGCTAGTTTTACAGTATAACTCAACAAGATTCACTCTAACAAACGATTTAACATTAGAATTCAATACAATATATGAATAATGTTCATTTTGGCTTCACTCAATGTTTCACAGTCATCTAAATAATAAAGCATACAATAATAAGTTAGTCTAAAATGAACAGTAATTTAATGGTTGAATTCATGAGTCGACTAAAGCTTAACCTCTATCGGAAACCTAAAAGCATTAGATGGCCGTTTCGTCCTATTTTGAGACTCCTCATCAGTAAGCATCCACGATCCCATCTTACAGGATTTAAACCCACGACCTATTGGTCTCACACGCGAACAGTTAACATCCAGACCACTGAGCCGGCCGGCATCCAACAGTTTTAATGTCTAACTTCAACTAATCCACAAAATTGAGCGATACATCCACCATTGCCTTCAGTGAGTTACTATCTCACAACAGACCTGGTTGAACTCCACTGGTCACTACTTCCCACTAGAACTCTTGAAGCCAGTTACTAGTGAGCATATAGTGATTAGTAACAGAAGGGGTTTTCTATGGACATTATAGTAATTTTAATAATTGAGATCGTGAGTCAATTGAAGTGAGACCATCATGAAAAACCTGAAAGTACAGGTTTTGAATCTGATGAGCACAATAAACCGAAACATCTATCCAATACTTCCAAGTTTTCCATAGTGGTTTACCTTCAATGGATTCATGATCTCAATTATTGAAATAATATATTTTATTTATAATCAATATTTAATAAAAATTACATAATCTTCATGTATTTGTTTGTTTTTCATTCTCTTTTTTTATATTTTAAATGATCAATAAATTTAAAACAAAAATACTACTTACAATAAATTCTTATAAAGAGGATTATTTAAATTGAATATCTTAGAAATAATTGAATAGTGTTTAAAGTTTTTATTAAGATTTTGTTTATTCCATAATGATTTATTATAATGATGTAATAAATGAAATATTGTATCTAAATGTACAATATTATTAATGATTAAATTCGATGAACAATTCACATTGAAATCTGATGGATATTGATTTGTTATAATCAATGGAGAAAATGATAAACGATTATTAAATCTGATATGTTTTGAATGATTATTTTGTATTTTATTATGTAATGAAATCATTGATTAAAGATTATTACATCATTTGAAAAGTAATTTTTAAAAAAACTTTGTTTTGTTTTAGTTAATGTTGAAATGTAATTTATTTTGTTCAATATTCAATGTATTACAATTTGTTTGTTTAAATGTTTAGTGACATAATTAGGAATAATTACTATGCTGTAAATAATTAAAGATGAGTTATTCATTATGAAGGGAATTCTTTGTTCAATGGTTATATTTAAATTTTAGAAGAAACAAAAAAAATCTGCATAAAACTGATGTTTCATTTTTTTTCAGTTTTCTTTTTTCTTTCAATAAAATATGATTGGTTATTAAATATAACACTGGTAATATATACAATGTATTAACTATTAAATGAACTAACTGTTTATTTAATAAAGAAAAAAGAAGAACAAAATGAAGAAAACAAAAATGAAAAGAAAAACAATTTCAAATCTATGGGATGGTCAATTGTGGAATATATATATATTAAATTTCTTACTTTTCTTGTTGCAGAATTATGTTCTTTTGTATAGAATGAAAACTATTTATATTACTATCAATGAAACTAGTAATAAAATGATATGAATGATATTTATTGTCGGTTCATTTATTTATATTTTGTTATTTTTTAGGTTATTCTTTTTTCTAGAAACAATATTATATATGGGATAAATTTGGTTACTTTTCTTTTGAAGCTTCATTCTATGTATATATTATTTGTATTTACTTCTCATATAATCATTCATTGATATCATATGATAAGAATCGGAAATGATTTTATTTCATGCACTTATATCATTGAGTTCTTGTGTATACAGTTTTGGGAAAAATTTAGTTTATGTTAGTAATTTCAAAAGATTAGTTCATTTTGATTAATTTATTAACCAATAAGTGGCTTATATAATTACTGGTATGATTAATGTATTCAAAAATTCAGTAACTTTCAGTTGAAACCATCAATCATTAAAACGAATCAAAATATGATAATACTGTGTAACAGTTTAAATAAATCCTCCGATAGTTAAAATGTGGCAGAATATTAACCGACAAACGCATACACAAAGCTATATAAGTCTCATCGGATCCAAGTACAGAGAGTAAGATTAATTATATTTCTATCAGTAAAAATTTCAGAAGGTCATGGAAAGCGTGAGAACCAGGAGAGGAGCTGATATAGGTTCATAAGACTACCTGGTTGTGGCAAAGATGAAACTGAAGCTAAAAAGGCATTGGACAAGTGGGGAAACAGCAGTACAAAGGCTCAAAACAGCCTTCTTTCAAGATACTGACAAACTAAACGGATTCATATACCACTCATCAACAGGTTCCAAGCCCCACAAGATCTTCCGAAAGAAGATGAAAGTACCATGGAGGAAAACCGGAAGAAGGAGTAAAGGGGCACTAATTTCAACGTGTCAGGAGATGTCGGGTCGCAACAAACATCTTCATGAGGAATGGATCTCTACCGCAATCCTGGACATGATTCAGGGAAAGGAAGAACAAGAAGACAGTTATTAACAACAGCCGAACGAGAATAGAAAAAAGTCAATGCACAATGTGAATTCATAGAAACAAACAAGCAAGTAAAGAGAGGCACTAGTGCCGACATGTAGAAGAACGTGGAAGACCTAACAACGATAATGGAAAAAGATGCAAGAGAATGATACATCGGACAACTATATGACACGACGAAGAAACTGGTAAGGATATATAGTAAACCAGAGAGACTGGTCAAGGATAAAGAAGGCAAGTCAACCACTGAGAATCAAGAACAGAGGAACAGATGAGCGGAATACTTCGAGGAACTCTTAAAAAGACCAGCGCCATTGAGTCTAGTGGACATCAAAGCAGAATTATCATGGAACTGAGGAAAGCTATTAAAGATATCAATAATAAGAAAGTAGAAGCAACGAACATTGTATCTGTCGTGACACTGAAGTTGGACTTAGAAGTAACTACAAACATGCTTCATGTTTCAATCAGGAAGAAATGGAGGGAAGGAACAAGTGCCACAAACAGACTGGAAGGAAGAACACCTCATCAATATACCAAAGAAAGAATATCTAAGCAAATGTGGATCTACAGACTCATCACACTACTGTCAGTACCACGAAATGATTTCAACAGAGCGTTGTTGAACCTAATAAAAGGTTCGATAGACGCTCAACACCTAGATCAACAGACCGGATTCTGTAAAGATCGGTCGTGCACTGACCAAATCGTGACAATACATATTATCGTTGAACAGTCATTTGAATGGAACTCGTCACTATACATCAACTTCATTGACCATGAGGAGGCGTTTGACAATGTGTATAAGAGAAGATTATGGAAAGTTCTTCGACATTATGGTGTACCTGAGACGATCGTCAATATCATATGGAATTCATACGACGAACTGCAGTGCAAAGTCGTGTATGGAGGACAGCTGACAGTTGCACTCGAAATGAGCACCAGTGTCAAACAGGGCTGCTTACTCTCAGCCGTCGTCTTTCTTCTGGTGGTTGACTGGATTATGAAGACCTCGATATCCGAGTGGAAGCGCGAAACACGATAGACAGTTTGGATGCTGTTGTGGATGCGGAGGAATAGACCAATAATTATCATGTTAAGTCCAATGGTGTCCTTGGACTTTAAATGGATATTTCCTATTGGTCGATATCTGTTCACTTGTTGAATATTGTACAAAATGTTGTTTTCTATTTTATGGTACGATGTGGTATGCTTGATTGGTATATAAACAAAGTATGTTTGAAATATAATGATTCATATCTCCGAGGCTGTGGCTTGTGTTCTGGACTCAACTGGCTGGGCTGGACAGGGAAGCAGGACCAATCAGAACTGTAGGCCGTTCGTTCGTGTTTACGTGTCACTGTAGTCGATCGATAAGTACGCTGCTCTCTAATTTTCCAGTCAAGGACACAACAATTAGCACAAAGTAAAAATCGACAGCAACCTAAAGCCATAACAGATGCAATAAGAAGGTTTGAACTTTACTGATGACCTAGCTCATCTATGCCATATATGTAAATAGATGCAGATGAAAAGAACTAGTGTAGCAGTAGCCTCTCCATCAGTGTGTCTCAACATACAAAAGGAAGAAAGTAAAATCTCCAAATAAAATCCAGAGAACACCAATCTAATCACACTTGATGGAGGAACTCTGGAAGAGGTGGAAAGTTTCACGTATCTGAACAGCATCATCAATGAATGAGGATGATCTGGTTCAGATGTAAATACAAGTATTGACAAATTAAATGCAGCATTCCTACAATTGAAGAACATATGGAACTCAAAACAACTGTTAACCGACACCAAAGTAAGAATCTTCAATATGAACTTCAAGACAGTTCCACTGTACAGAGTTGAAAGTTGTATAACTACCACAATCATCATCAAACATGTATAAGTATTTATAAACAGTTGTCTACGTATGATACTCAATGACCGTTGGTTGGATACCATCATCCATAGCCTGCTATGAGAGAGAACAAACTCGGTTCCAGCTGAGGAGGAAATTAGGGAAAGACGTCAAAAGTGGATGGGACAAACATTATGGAAATCACAAAACTGCATCATGATGCAAGCACTAACGTTTAGTCTTGAGAGGAAACAGAAAAGTGGAAGGACAAAGAAATCAGTACGTTGGGAATCAGAAGCAGACATGACGAGAATAAGGAGCAACTAGAAACAACTGGATAGGATTGCGCAGGTCACAGTTGGATGGAGAATACTGGTAGGCAACTTATGTTCCTCCATAAGGGGTAACCGGCGTAAATAAGCATAGCCAAGATCAATTGTTAATCAGTGTGTCATTTAATAAAAATATGATTCTAATAAGATGAACGTTTTCATTGGTTTGAAATACAATTTAAGCTCAAGTTTTATTACGTTTTCAAAATTACAACATTATCTGTTATCGAATACGAATAGTAATTACCTAGAGTTTTACCATAAACTGTTTATTCTATTACCTGTAAATTGTTTAATGAAAGATAACATTTTCTCGCTTATTTTGTTCAGTGGTTGACAAATTCATCTAAGAAAAATTTTAGTCTATGAGTATTCATATCACTGGTCATTTTACTCTTATAGTTAAAACAATTTAGTTGAGACAACTTGAGAAGAACCAGATAATGGAATATTATTCACTTTAAGTTTGTCATTCCATACTCATTTGTACTCATTACTTTATGGCTTTTATCAATTGTTCAAGTGGGATTATTTTATGATACAAATTATCTTTTAAGCATAAACATTATGCTCTACAAACCGAGTAGGTAGACAAATCAAAGTATTTCAGTTTCCCAAAGTTCATGTCAGCTATTGTATATGATTAAGTTAAATTTGTTATCAATTAACCATTTATGACCAATAATGTTAGGTGATCTCGGTAACATAAATTTGAAATTCAAGTAGTTATAATTCAAATAAGTGATGTAAATGCTTTGGCTTCTCTGTGAGGTATGAAGTTCTTGAGTCTGATCACAGGTGTGATGCTGCTTGCCTAATACCGATTGGTTATAAACTAGGAGAATTATTTATCACGTGCTCTACCAATTTCAGTATGTGAAGAAAGCTGTATTTTACTTTAGGTGTTTATAAATTTGTCATCTTCAAAAAACTATTCTGAATAACAAGTGTACCGTACATTATTCCTGAATCATTTATACTTGTTTCATTGTAATTTTTTAATTTTAAAATTATATTCACTGATTTGTTTCCAGTTAGTTTAGTGTAATCAACATAGAACAAGTTTCTATGACGTATCTGGATCACTAAATAATATTTGAAATTCAAGTTTATCAGATTAAATTCCGGAAACAAACTAATAAGAGAGTATTATCCATTAAGAGGAGTCAGAGACAGAAAAAACTTTTAAATCGAGTTATTTTATATAAAACACTATTGTCATTCGTCACAATCAAGTTATCTATTACTTTAGTATTAAGTTACGCTGGTGAAAAACTCTGAAATTGACGAAAACAATTTTACTAGTAGTTATCAATTTTAGTAAG